GATATAACTTTAATGAACATAAACTATCATGAAGAGGCCAACATTGTCACACAATCCCCTTTGGGTGAAATACGCAAAACCTAGGTTACAACCAAGGTCAGAACCTCAGATGAGTTACTCAATGAGCATACATTTAATTCAAAAATATATCTCCTTTGGGTAGATAAGTTCTCTAAACCAAAACACCTTCAATAACTTCATGTATGAATTCAAGAATAAGCTACTCATTAAGCATATATTAAGTTTAGAAATTTATCTCCTTTGGGTAAATAAATCCCTTGGACTCAAGCATCTCCAATAGTTATATTCTTACTCACCCACAATCTCTACATACAATTGTCCACCTTTGGGAAGAAAATCATAGTAATGATTTAAAACCATTCCTCAAACTACAAAGATACTTTTATAAATTAAAATGAGTGATCTCACTTTGGTGGTAATCACACACAATTATTTATAGAATTTCTTACATAAGAACCAAATTTCTCTTGCCAAAATAAGTCATGACCCAATCATGAATTTAAAAAATATAGCATTTCCAATAAATTTTGTCTTCAACAATATCAATCTCGATATTATAAGGGAAATTATATAATATTTTAAAATATTTAAGAAAAAAAAATCATAAATTTATATAAACCAATATTTCTTTAATAAAATGTCCAAGACAATACTATTAAAATAATAGTTTAATATATAATTTTATAGGCTTAATTGCAACTATGGTCCCCCTATTTTATATTTTTTTGAGTTTTGGTCCCCCTATTTTAAAAATCAAGATTTTGGTCCCTTTTTTAAGTTTTGAGTTTGATTTTAGTCCCCTCTAATTTTAAATTTTTTTTAATGATGTGACACTATTTAAGATGACGTGTCTAATGCCAAGTCATTTTTAAAAAATTAATTTAAGACTTTATTTATTGATTATGATAATTAACTTATTAATATTATTTTAATTAAGTAATTAATTAATGATTAATATTTTATTATTAATTTTTATAATTAATTAATTAATCAAAATTTTGAATGAAACTCTTTGAACCTTTAGTTATTGGTTCATATCTTTGGTCTAACCCACAATTGAATTGTTGGGTTTGTTTCACTTTTATAAACATTTTTATGTCTTATACAAAAATCAATGTGAGACTTCTAAAAGACCTATAATGATGAAATCAACTATAGAATATTCAACTATAATGGTGAGATTCATTTTTGTTTTCTAACTGTATTCTTAATTCTTACCATATATGTCATATTTTTCAGTATCTCATGTTTCTTACTCTGAAATCAGGGGAAGGAAGAGGGCTTGTGTGACCTATTGCTTAACCTACATTGCGAGCTGCATCACCAAACATTCTCCTCAGTACAAAATTTTGATGGTGGGCCGTATCTTGGGAGGCATTACCACTTCACTTCTATTTTCAGCATTTGAGTCGTGGCTTGTTGCGGAGCATTTCATGGTGAGGAATAATTGTTTGTTTTTAGAGTTGTCTTCTGCTAATTATCAAACTTTACCATCATATTTTCATCTGGTTATGTTGACTTTATAACATTCTTCTCTGTACATGGAGGTTGTAAATGTCTTGAATAATATAGTTATTATAAGTGCCATGGAGAAGAGTAAGTTGTACAGCTTCGATATAATAATATTAGCTTGATTGTGGTAAATAAAAATTCAAACCGTGCTAATCTCTTATGTAATACTTAAGAGCATTGCTAAATATTCCGAGAGACTTGTATACGAAAGGCAAGAATGTTACTGTGAACCGTTCTTAAAATACAACTAAATTGTTTGGTTTGGCTTTGACAGAAATTATGGGTGGGTGGTTGTGTAAATCTATGGCGACATTTATTCTTGCGTTTCTTCAATTGAGTATCTTTATACAAATGAGCAATTTCCAATACTTAATATGTAATTATGTTAAATGAACTTCTTAATACGTCATTCTAAACAGAACTAGCTAGTTGATAGATCTAACAACTACAAACTAGGGTGATTCCAAAACATGTTCATTTCTGGGGTTTATAAATTTATTAAGTCCCTATAAAAAAAATAAGCATGCATTTTACAGTATCTCCCAGGGGCTAATGAAGTGATTTTTTAGTCATCAAAATACCACACTAAAGGATTTTACCATGCTTTTTTATACCTCTGTCTTGATTCCTTCATTTTGCATTTTGTATTTATTAATCTCAATTTTTTTCACATGAATTTATCAGAGGGGCTTTGATCAGCAATGACTGTCATTAACATTCTCGAAGGCCATATTTCTTGGAAATGGTCTTGCCGCCATTTTTTTGGGCTGTTTGGAAATGTGCTTGTTGATACATTGGCTCTTAGAAATCTCACATTGATTTTTGTATAAGACATAGAAGTGTTTTTAAAGGTGAAACAAACACAACAATTCAAGTGTGGGTTAGACCAAAGATATGGGCCAATAACTAAAGGCCCAAAGAGTTTTATTCAAAATTTTGATTAATTAATTAATAATAATAAAATATTAATCATTAATTAATTATTTAATTAAAATAATATTAATAAGTTAATTATCAATAGAGTCTTAAATTAATTTTTTAAAAATGACTTGGCATTAGACACATCATCTTAGATAGTGCCACATCATTAAAAAAATTTAAAATTAGAGAGGGGACTAAAATCAAACTCAAAACTTAAAAAAGAGACAAAAATCGTGATTTTTAAAATAGGGAGACCAAAACTCAAAAAAATACAAAATAGGAGGACCATAGTTACAGTTAAGTCAATTTTATATATAGTAATCCGTTGGAAACATTTAGTGTGATTCAATTATACATCAACGTGAGAAAGAATTGGAAAAAAAATCTGCCAATGGAATATTAACGTGAAAGGGGAACAAATTAAGCAAGGAAAACCGGAACTATCCTGTTGACTATGAAAAAACAAAATCAATTGAACAAAAAACCGGAACAACTTTATCGATTATGGCGTGGAAGAAAAAACAATGTAAACAATGGCACTCATTTTTTAAATAGAAACACTTCAAACATAACACATGTAATTGAATTCAGTAAACATGTGAAGGCATGGTATTTTATACAGGAATGCTATGTTTACACCACATCCTACACCGTATACACTGTTCACCGTATTTATACGGTGAACAATATTGTTTTTATTAAAATAATATATTTTTTAAAATATTAATTTTTTTTTAAAAAAAATATTTATTTTTAAAATTTATTTTATAACACAAATATAAGATTGTGTATTAATCAATTTTACAGTTGCATTAACCACAAAAATCTACATCATTAATCAATTATTTTACCTATAATTTATTAACCACTTTCACTACTTCATTAACCAATAAAATAAATACTATTAACCATGTTCTGAGAAATTTGTTCACGTATTTGTGAACAGTAAATTGGGTGTAGGGTGTAGAAAAGAGTGTAAGAATAACATTTTTCTATTTTATAACATAAACCTTTCATGTTAAAAAATTGACTTCAAAATAAAAACTAATATATAAAAATTGCCTTCAATTTTTAAAGTATTCGTATGCCGATCAAAAATATTTATAAAGTGAATCATAATTAAAATGAACGGTGGCATATAAAATAATTGTTTAAAAGTGCATCATAATAATTAGAATCCTTAATTCATAATCATGTATTAACGATAAACAATTGAGTCCTAACTTATATAATATAAACTCTGATAGCAAATGTAAGCGAAAAAATTTATCTATTATTTTATATGAAATTAGAACATCAATACTTACTTGCAGGGGCGGTTCTTGGGCCCGGCCAGGCTGGGCACATGCCCAGGCTCTGGGGGGCCCAATATTTTTTTTCCTGTTGTATAAAAAAAATAAAATAAAATTTAAAAAATGGAAAAGAAAAAGAAAGTTGAATTCACAGAGAGAAACCAAGCGACGAACCACTGTGTCTACCCACGAATCCGCCATCATCCCTTTCCTCAACTTGTTTCACTACACACTCGCCACCTTCATCGGATTCAGACCACCGACGAACCACTACCCACGGTCGCGCAGAACCACTACTACCGATGAACCACCACCGACGAACCACTACCAACGAACCACCGTCGCGCAGAGAGAAATATAACGCAGACGCAAGAGCAGCGAAGAGGTCGAGAGAGAGAGAGTCGTCGACGAAAGAAAAGAAAACACCGTGAAAGCACGGAGGGAGTCGCGCATGTGAAAGAGAAGAAGAGAAGAAACTTATTTTTGCTGTAACTGTAAGTACTAAGTACCGTGTCCTTCTTGTTTTTTTACTTTTAATATTATAATAAGTATTGTTAAAATGCTTTTAAAAAAAACGTCACAGTTTCACACACTGTATTATTATCAATGGATTATATATCTGCTTGAAAATTGGGGGTTGGCTTTTGACAACTTTATGAAAAGAAAAGGAAAAAGTTTAGGTGGAATTTTATTATATATTTCATGCTCCAGTTGGACATGTCACGAAAGTACTAGAATTTGTGGGATAAGAGCATCCTGCATCCACATATGATGTATTGAGGGAAATATAAGGCTAATACAAAACAATAAAAACAAGTCAAACATATCTAACAAAAATTAATGGATATAAAACTTCAATTTATAAAAATGTTTAAATCCATACTTGTATATAGTAACTTATTATTTGTGTATGATTATATAACTACATGCATTCGAATTTGTTTAACATACCATGTCCTTCTTATTTTATGCTTGTAAGTTGTAGAATTGAATTTATTTGGAATTGGATTTGCTATGCTAAGTGCTTATGGAATTGGAATTGGATTTTTTTTATGCTAACTTGCTAAGTGCTTATGGAATTTAAATTGAATTTGCATACTATAAGTGCTTATGGAATTGGATTTTTTATGCTTATTATAAGTGATAATGAATTCAGTGTTTTTTTTATAAGTGATTATGTTTGGAATTGGATTGATTAAGTGATAATGAATTAATTTTTTTTATAAGTGATTATGTTTGGATTTTTTTCCAGAGATGAGGAGATTTTTGGTTGAGTCAGAACCAGAACCATCTCCGCCTAATGTGGTTAATGAGTTTAACCCAAATGAGATTGTGCGTGATCCATGTCGTAGGAAACAAATTAATGAGTATGCTCCGGATATTCAAGATCAAGTGAGGAGGACATATATATTGAAAGGTCCAATGCAACCAGAATTGTCAAGCTTTCCTCGTACTCCATTTGGAAGTGTTAAAAGAGCATTTAGTAAATCATGGTATAAGAATTATACATGGTTAGAATACAGTGAGATCAAGGATGCAAATTATTGTTTTTATTGCTTTCTTTTTAAGAAACCCGGGAGGGCCGAGCACTTTGGTTTTGAAGTCTTCACTAAAAGCGGATATAAAGATTAGAAGCATGCATCTCAAGGCTTGAAAGATCATGTTGGTAGTCATAATAGTTTTCACAACTCATGTGTCAAGCACTACGATGATTACAATAATCAAAGACAAAGTGTGACAAGTAAGTTTGTTAAAGCAACCAAGGAATCAGAAGAATTGTATAAGATTCGTTTAACTTGTTCTGTAGATTGTTCAAGATATCTCATTGCACAAGGCATGTCTTTCCGTGGCCATGATGAATCCTCTATTTCTCTAAATAAGGGCAATTTTAGAGAGATGGTAGATTGGGTAAAAGTTAAGAATGAACAAGTGCAAGCTGCTTTTGACCGTGGTGGAAAAAATTGCACAATGATTTCCGGTGACATTCAAAAGGAGCTTGCAATGTGTTGTGCACATGAAGTTACCAAGGTGATTTTGGGAGAGCTTGGTGATAGACAATTCTCTGTACTTATTGATAAGTCACGTGATATATCCGTCAAAGAGTAAATGGCAGTGATGTTGAGGTTAGTAGTTGTATTTTCCAATTTCTAATTTTCATTACCTATTATTCTTTATGCTGCCAAGTAAAATTGTCGAATTTGTTTTAGGTTTGTGAACGACAAAGGGAATGTTGTGGAACGATTTATTGCTCTACATCATGTCAAAGATACGACATCTGAGTCATTAAAGGATGCTCTTTATGGTATTCTTGATAAGTACACGTTATCTATTTCAAGGATATGAGGCCAAGGATATGATGGAGCTTCAAATATGAGAGGTGAATTTAATGGTTTGCAAAGAAAGATTATAGATGAAAACCCTTATGCTTTCTATGTACATTGTTATGCTCACCATTTGCAATTGGTTGTTGTGTCTGTTTCTAGTAGTTGCTCATCTATTCATGATTTCTTTGAGTACATCTCCTTGATTGTGACCACAACAAGTGCATCTTGTAAGAGGAGGGATGCTTTGACGGAGACACAACACCAAGATATTTTAAATAAACTTGAGAGTGGTGAGATATTTAGAGGAAGGGGTTTGCACCAATCATCTAGTCTCATTAGACCCGGGGATACTAGATGGGGTTCACATTATACTACATTGCTTCGTTTGGATCAAATGTGGTCCTCCGTGTTAAATGTGCTTAGTATGGTTGATGAAGATGGACGTGGACCATCTTAAGCAGCAGGTTTGATAGAAAAAATGGAGAGCTTTAAATTTGCTTTTATTTTGAAGTTAATGTTAAAGTTTTTTGGTATTACAAACGAGCTTTCACATGTCTTGCAAAGAAAAGATCTTAATATTGTGATTGCCATGGAATTAGTTGATGTTGTCAAAGCTCGGTTGGCCACAATGAGAGATAGTGGTTGGGATGATTTATTTGCTGATGTCCAAGAATTTTGTGTTGCTAAAGGTATTCCGGTGCCAAATATGGATGACGAAATACCGTTTCGGGGTCGTTCAAGGGTGGAAGGAAGAACTATCACTAATCTTCATCATTACCGTGCAGATATTTTTTATGTTGCTATTGACAAAATATGTGTGGAGATGGATCACCGCTTTAGTGAAGGAAGTAACATTATCCTTGATTGCTTCTCATGTCTTGATCCCAAGAACTCTTTCTCCAAGTTTGATGTTGATAAGCTTGCTCGTCTTGCTGATATTTATCATGTAGACTTTTCTGATGATGACCGTGGAACAATAAGGGATCAACTTGACACTTATGTTCTTCAAGTGAAAAGAAATGCTTCATTTTCCACTTGTGAAGATGTTCAAAGTTTGGCTATAAAGATGGTTCAAACTGAGAAACATTTGGTATTTCCATTGGTTTACAAACTTATTGAGTTAGCTTTGATATTGTCGGTGTCGACAACATCCGTTGAAAGAGCTTTTTCAACAATGAAGATTATCAAGTCTAAATTGCGTAATAAGATCAATGATGTGTGGTTCAATGACTTGATGGTATGTTACACCGAGCGGGAGATATTCAAGTCACTTGATGATGTTGATATTATTCGAACATTCACAACAAAGAAGTCTCGAAAAGGACATTTGCCTCGTAATTTTATTTAACATGCTATTGTAAGATTATGTTTCATGATCTCTTTCATCTCTTTTATTTTAGGAAATTTATATATTATAATGTGAATTTGCGGTCTTAAAATTTTTTGCCCAGGCTTTTTAATTTTTCTAGCTCCGCCACTACTTACTTGTTGAAGTCATCATTCAAAATCCCGAAAGGATGAATGACCGGATCTTCCTCTGTATCTCACATTCCCATTTACAACTCTCAATGAGGCAAGTTGTGGAGCTGTCAATTATATTTCTGATTCTTATTGTGATTACAGAGGGGATCTAGCCATATAATATATATAACTCTAGTCCCTACTCATTATGGGCTCAAGGTTAAAGCCCACACTTTTACCCACACCAATCAGGTTTCAGATACCCAGCCTTTAGTATTCTTTTTATTTTTTTTTAGCATTTTCATTTTTAAATTTATTTACTTTATATAATTTTTGTTAGATCTTGTGTTGAGGGTATGCTGCAAAATATGAACCAGAAGAAGATGATGAAGACATTATGATGAAAGTTGAACACAATAATTTCAAAACGTGTGTTTACACTAAGCTTTAAGTTCGATTGACCCCACCAATTTATTCAAATTGGATGCAAAAGGGTTAAGCGGCGAATCCCATTCAGGATACTTTGAAAATCTTAACATGAATTGCACATTCATATTAAGCATATCAATCAACGATATTTTACGGAATAAAGTTCCATTATTTATTCTTGTCCACTAGAAAAATTAAAGAATGACTTAGATATAATTTTTGACACTTGAAACAAGTAATTTTTATGTATATTTTATGGCTAACAAGTATCTCTATTTATAGAAAAACTTGTACTAATTGGTGAGAAGAAACAATGTTTCATTAGATTCCAACATGACTATTCGTGAACCATTGTATATCAATAACAACAAACTTTTTCATGAAAAGTTGTGTTAATCTGGTGGTTGCACCTTTAGACCACTCACCCAATCATTATAGGGTCTCTGGTTCTATTCTAGACAATTTCAACTTTTGGCCTTTTATTTTATTAATTTAACCATTATTATTTATCAATTTAATATTTTGGAAATTTCTCCAACAATCCCCCACCATTTTCAAAATATATCTAAATCCATTATTCAGAAAATTTCATGGTTTCAAATAAAGGTATCTTACGATTTAAACCAATACTTAGTAAGTTAAGTTTTCACTCATCCCCGAATAGATTGGTAGACAAGCTTTGAACCAATTATTCATTAGAACAAGCGTGCATAACTCACACATGAAATCTCGGTACCATTGATCAAATTATTAATATGACACATTTAATAAGATCTTGTGTCTCATATCTTTTTCATGAGAATTTAAGAGTCAAGCCCTTGAACTCTATGAAGCGGCACCACTTCATTCTCATATAGGTAGACGATATCAGAAATGCACCCATAATTATGCATTCCAACAAACATATGCTATATGTCTATTAAGAGGAAAACCTCATCCTACCATACTTATTCTTATGGTCCAAGTAATTTTATCCCTTGGGATGTATCTAATATTAAGTACTTCAATCACTCTAATAGTGTACTTTCATCATTGAACTCAAGACTTAACATTAATCAAGTGTGAGTTGAGTTTCCACTATTGATGATTAGTTAGATACAAGCTTGTTCCCCATCCATAATGATGTCTTCATTGTATTCAATAATATCCAAAGACATCATATCTTTGTCAATTCTTTCGTCGAAGAATTGTACGATTTTTCCAAACTTTAATAAATTCCGAATATTCAATTTTTTAACTAATCATACATATGATTACTAATCTTACCCAATCAGAAAGGATCAATGGCCTACTATGCATCATTGGATTGCGGCTTTCACCAGAGTTAGGGAGAAAGAAGGGGGGGTGTACCTGCAAGGCACTCCGATGCTTAAGTGAGTAAAGGATAAGAGTGAGAAAGCAAGTACAGAGAAATAGGTGTAGAGAATAAGATACCTGACCCTCTAGTGAAAGAGGGTATTTATAGAGAGACCCCATCGCAGGGCCAACGGTTACATTGCATTGGGCCAGACTACCAAGCCTAACCCAAGTAACTGCCAGGGCTTATGTGGCGTACTGAAGACCAGCACGTGGTCTTCGCCTTAGATCAACTGCCCCGTGATCTTCGGAAGGTGGGCTGACCAACTCTTTCGAAGGTGGATAGTTGCCTAATGACGTGTCCCCACATGGGGGAGCACGTGGAGAACGTGGGGGGAACGCGTGATCCTCCCTGTCAAGGGAATCGTCTGATCGGCATATGTGCCTTGTTGAGGCTTGTGCCCGACAAGGGAGAATTGGGCCTTGTTGGGCCTCGCCAGCATAGCGTTGGGTTGGGCATACCCGACCGAGGGGTAGGTGCCGACCCAGTCTAGAACAGGAGCCCCCTAAGTCGTGCTCCGAGGCGAAGGAGTAATGACTTAAGGGCGGGTTGAGATGTCGAGGTCCTCTTTGAAAGAGTGCATCTGCCCGACGTATAAAGTTAAGGGTCACTTATGGTTCCAAGAGAGGAAGTATGTCGGGGATGTTAGGAGACATGTCGGGAAATCAGACGGGGGAGACAAATGGCTCCCTGGGTTTTTGGAACCGCCACGTATCAGACATCCACTGCTTGGATAGGGCGGCTAGAAGTAGGGGTGCTTGAGTGCCTAAGGGCGCCTCGAGTCCCGTGCTAGGCTTATAAATAGCTCGGTCCTGCCCCATTTCCCACTTTTTGCTCTCTCTCTGCTCTTGACGTCACTTTCTTTCTCTTCTGTCTCCTCAAGTTCTGCGCAGCAACATCTGCCGTCAACTGTCGTTCCGACAGCCGCCTCCGTCGTCTAGAACAACCACTCCAAGTAAGTTTTTGATTTTTGTTCTGTCTTTCACCTTTTTCACCTTGTTTTACCTATTTTCCGATGATTCCACGGTGGACATGATGAATGGCCTGGGGAGATTGCAGGG